AAGTAATTTCTAGACACACTGCTTTCTCTGATTAACCTTAAAAAGATCATGTCTTACATCTTCAAACTACGAGCAAATTTGAAGAGTGGTACCTTTTTGAAAAGCAAATGTAATTTCACTTCTGTTTTGATAATATTGATAAAATATGGTTGACTTCATCTTTTCACTATGTGGAGTGTGGAGATAGAATCAGGTCTAATTCTGAGAAAGGCTTTCAGCCAGAGCCCTGTAATGCTAACTTCTCAGCCACACCCTGACCCCCAAGTTCTCACCGGCCTCCTTGGCATGCTCCCCCTCCGCTTGCTTCTCCACAGGGATGTCAGCCAGGAGTCAGGTTTGTGAACCTCTTCTCTTTCTACTTCCTTCCCCAAGGAAGTGGCCCATTCGTACTTAGCCTGAGATCCCTCTTCACTGCTCAGAACCCTCTCCCAGTGTCACTGGTCTCCCGTCAAGTCCCACCAGCACCTTACACTCATCTGGTCAAAAACCATTTTCTGGGGGGCACCTGGGTGGCTCAGTGGTTGAGCATCTGCCTTCAGCTCAGGTTTTGATCCCAGGGTCCTGGGATCTAGTCTCCCATTGGGCTGCCCACAGGGAGCCCGCTTCTCCCTCTGCCTATGTCTCTGCCTCTCTCTGTGTCTCCCATGAATAAATAAATAAATTCTTAAAAAAGAAAAAATCCCACCCCCACTGCTCTGGCTTGCTCCTTGGCCCTTTAGTAGTTCATAGTGTCATACTCCATGGTCGTTCAGCATCAAAGCCTTGTGGTCTCTCTGCGTCCCTCTTTCCCTTGACGCTCCATTCATGGTCCCACCACATCCATCCCCAGCCCTCTCTTAAGCCCTCCTGTCCTGTCTGGCTGCCGCACTCTCGCAGCAGCCTTACTTGACCCCTGGCTTCACTCCGCAGAATTAGTTCCTCAAAATTCAAAACACTGGGATGTGAACAGGGCCAAATACTGCCAGGGGATGAGGAAGAAAATTGGCTTCTGGAAGCTTTGGCATTTGGGAGGTGACAAGTGACTGTGATGAAAATGGACTCAGGAGCATGGTGAAGACAGCTGGCAGGTGCAATGGGATGCTAAGAAGGTGCAGAGACAGAGAGGGGACACTGCGTGTAGCTGCTCCCAGGGTCTGCTGCTGGAGGCATGGCAGGAGCAAGGGCAGGAAGCAGGGGACAATGTTTTGTTTAAGACAAGGGAGGTACACGTCTCCTTTATTTTTTGTTTAAGACAAGGGAGATACACGTCTCCTTTATTTTTTTCTCTGTGAAATAAAAACTAAGGGTGCCTGGGTGGCTTAGTTTGTTGAGCCTCGGGCTCTTGGTTTCAGCTCAGGTTATGATCTCAGGGTCATGAGGTCAAGCCCCCTACCGGGCTCCACGCTCCGCAGGGAGTCTGCTTGATTTTCTCTCTCCCTCTCCCTCGACCACTCCCTCCCCCTGTGGGTACGCATGTGTGCGCACACGTCCACGCACTCCCCCTCTCTCAAATCAATCTTTTTTAAACAAAAACTAAAAACTAAAAAAAAATACAGGCAGTGTCGTAGTTTTTAATGTGGCAGAAACCACACAACATATTGCCACAAGGTATAGGTATTTGGAAGGTAGAGTGGTATATTCTGTATTTCGAGAAACCTAATAACCTTTAGCTTAACGTGCTGTATTAAGGACGTTTGGGATCCCTGCTGATTGAAGTACATTTCCTCAGGGTGTATAGTTCAAATATTTATTAGCTCCCTCCACAAACATGAGTCGAGTGTCAAGTGTGTGTCTGGCGTGGAGCTGGCCTGGCCCTCGGCTTGCAGACCTGAAGGGGAGAGAGCCCTGAGCTTCTGTCGCTCAGCCCCGCACAGACCTGGACTGTGATTCTCTTAAGCACTGGACGGATAAAAGCCCAGAGGAGTCCATTCTGAGTTCTCAGGATTGACACCATCAAGCGAGCAGGTGGGGCAGCTTCCAGGCAGAGAAAAGAGAAAACAGGTACAGAGGGAGAAAGAGGCAGCGCGACGAGGAGCGAAATGTACAGAATTTGAAGTTAGTGTTTTAAAATTCCAGTCCAGAGCCTGAGTACGGGCCACAGGGACCTGAGCCGGCTTCTCAACCTCGCTGAGCCTCAATTATGTGCTCTCGAGCATAGATGAAGCAACACCTACTGCCCGGGATGCGGTGAGGGTTAAAAATAAACCCCACGCAGTCAGTGGTATCTCCTGGCGTTATTGATCCTGGGCACGGCAGCAGCATGACGCTGAGGCTTCGTGGGGCTCAGCCTGGCCAGAGCCAGAGGACAGAGGTCCCTGAAAGCCACGCTCAGGACTTTGAACGCCATCTCAGGGATGCTGGAGTATTGTTTAAGCATTTCAGTGGGGGACTGACATAATTAGATTTCGGGTTAAGAAGATCACTCTGACAGCAGGATGAGGGTGGAAGGGGAGAGCAGGCACGACTGGGAACAAAAAAACGTGCCAACGTTCTTCCCATGACAGTAATCATTACAGTCCCCCCATGATGCCGTCAGAGAAGCAGAGAAGATCCTCTGTACTGGTAGCTACCAAAAGGAAAAAAAAAAAAAAGAAATTGCTACTTGATCAACAAACATAGGAACAGTCGCATTCTCAGACCACAATAACAGATTTATAAACAATACCTTCAAGCTGGTTGGCAGACTTGGTTGAATTGTGGATTTTATAATCAAGCATGGTATCAAAGAGCCCCTAAAGCTTTTAACCTCGTCCTCAAACCATTTGACTTTTTAAATTAGAAGCTCTTGGGATGCCTGGGTGGCTCAGCGGTTGGGCGCGGTTGGGCGCCTGCCTTCGGCTCAGGTAGTGATCCCAGGATCCAGGATCGAGTCCCACATCGGGCTCCTGCATGGAGCCTGCTTCTCCCTCTGCCCATGTCTCGGCCTCTCTCTCTCTCTCAGTCTGTGTCTCTCATGAATAAATAAATAAATCTCTTACAAAAAATAAATTAGAGGCTCTTAGCCTGGGGTTCATCCATGGATGGGCTTCAGGCAGTATGTGGACTCCTTGAAATCAAAGACAAAATCATAAGCATACTTTCTCCATGAGGGGAGTGACCACACCCCCTTCATCAGATGCTGGCTGGCTTGATCTAGAACCCCAGGAAAGGTTAAGAACCACTGTGTATATGTATGTAGAAGAGACTGGTGTTGCATTGGAAGAATTCTTAATGACTTAGACATTTCTGTCTGAACCTCAGACTCTTACACCTAGCGGCAAACCCAGTATCTTTGCTTGGAGCGTAATGGGCATTCCAGACTTGATGCAACCCATCCTTGGCTGACCCCTCCCTTAACCTTCCCTAACTGCCCTCTTCTACCTGTTCAAGCCAAAATCCTGGGAATCTTATTTTCATGCTCTGCATCCACCCCTTGGGGCTGTCACTCTGTCTTCAAATATATCAGGGCTCTGACACTTCCCTCACCCCCACCTGCTACCGCCCACCAATTCCTTGTCATCCTTCCCCAGTATGTTTCAATGGCCTCTGCCCTGCTCCCTGCTTCTGCCCTTACACCTTGCCCATCCGTTCCTCGTGGCAACCAAAACACTTGCCCACACCCTCCAGTAGCTTTCCTTCTATCTCGGAATAAAAGCTAAAGTTCTCGGGACACCTGGGTGGCTCAGTGGTTGAGCGTCTGCCTTCAGCTCAGGGCGTGATCCTGGAGTCTGGGATCGAGTCCCACATCAAGCTCCCTGTGAGGAACCCGCTTCTCTCTCTCTCTCTCTCTCTCTCTCTCTCTCTCTCTCTCTCTCACGAATAAATAAACATTTTAAAAATAATAATAATAAAATAAAAGCTAAAGTTCTCAATTGCCCTCTGAGGTTGTATGACCTCATGGGACCTGGCATCTAGGATGTCTCTGATGTGGTTGCAGCCCACTCTCCACACTGGCTCGAACATGCCACCTCAGGGCCTTTGCACATACAGTGTCCCCTGCTTGGAGGGTTCTTCCTGCAGATGTCCATGACTTGCTCTCTCTCCTCCTTCAGGTCTTTGCTCAAGTCTTCTTGGGCCATCTGTTTAGAATTATAAGATCTTCACTGACCCCACTCCAGAATATCTGCCCTGCCCTGCTTAATTCCTCCTCTACACTTATCACTGACATATTATACTTATTTGCTTATTGTCTACCCCCCAATGTGATACAAGCTTCATGAGAAGAGGGAATTTTTTTGTTGTCTGGTTTCTTTTACTCTTTTATTTAAAATGCTATCACAGTTCTTGACACCTAGCAGGAAGTCCGTTGTCTTGATTGAATTTTATTTTGAGAATTTATTTGACACCTTTACAGTTACCGTGTGTTCTTCTCACTGTAACTTTCTGCATATCATATCCATAATTATGTCAAGGTGTTTGAATGCATTGTATCTTTTCGAATTTACCTCTTCACTCAAAATAGTAGTTGAGGCAATGATAATTATTGACCTCATGGGTTCTGAGTTCCCCATATTAACCAGAATTCTTTTCCAGCGGCCACTTGGCAACGGAGAGAGTTCCTCTCTGTAAACTTCTGACGGGTTCCTCAAATTCCACACCATCCTTCACGACTTAATAAAGAAATTCCTTTAAGGTTACTATGAGAATAATCTGGAAGACTGACGTGTTGGTCCGACTAACAGTCCCCAGGCTGTCACCACACTTCTCCGAGGGCAGCGCACCTTGCAGGTGGACCACAGAGCTGCTGTAATTAGCCACAGCTTTATGCTTCATTGCATGCTTGCGTCTCTGTGCCGGGGGTATCAGAGACATGTTTATTAACTGAGCTGACACCTGCTAGTGTCTGTCTGTCTTACCTTCGGAATTTGTTAGACTCGCTCTTCCTGAACCAGAAAGCACCGGGGCGTGCCCCTAAAGGCCTGGTTCTGTTTGCCCGAGCTCTGCGGAACAGCAGCAACGGCGGACTAGAGCCGAGGCCTTTCCGGTGGTCTCATTTCTAGCGTCATTTCTGACGTCTCCGTGTTTATCTTCCACCGTTTCAGGCTTTACAAGACGAACTAGAAGCCCGCGCTAACCAGGTGCGGTGCGCAGAGAAGAAACTACAGCACAGGGAACTGGAGTCCCAGGAACAGGTAGTGTCCCGCTCCCGCTCGGCTGCTGGGGGGGGGGGGGGGTCTCCCTTCTCCAGGTCTGGAAGCTTGCAGATGCGTTTCCTCGGCGAGGCGCCCTGCGACTAACAGAACACCCCCCCCCCCCGCCCAGGTGGCATAAACAGCTTAGGGGCCGCTGACCTCACTCGACCGCAAGTCTGCGGGGAGGCCAGGCTCCGCTGCTCGGATGGCGGCCGCAGCCCCAGGCGCCGCACACACGCAGGCGGCGTCCGGGGGGCCGTCCCGCTGCACAGCCCGGAGACCCTTCCCGGACCCCGCCGCCCCATCCGCGCTTGCCTCCCCTCCACATCCCATTGGCCAGGACCAGTCACATGCTCAGCCTGTCCTGTCCAATCCCAGGCCAGAGGGCTCAGGTGCCGCCAAGCAGCCTGGACCAATCAGGATCCCCCGCTGGTGAGGGCCTGGGGCCGGAAGCGGCGGTGGCGTTGGGTAGGCGGGGCCGCCTTCGCCGCGCGGATCCCGCGTTCTTTTGAGCCTTCGTACTCTCCGTCTTTCCGTGAAGCTGATGAAGTGAATCTCCTATAACCAGGGTAATCTGGCCATGACAATAGCTAATGGCCTATTTTATTTCCAAAGACAGGATTATGTTCATCCAGTTCTTCCGGTTGCAGTGGTGTATTCTTTGTGGTAATTTTGAGTTCAAAGTTTAAAAGTTAAAGTCGAGTTAAAGTCTAAAAAGTCAGCCACGTCATCCATAGAGATCGCGAGGCCTAACGAAACCTCTGGTAACTGCCGTGCCCCCAGCCCCCAGCCCCCAGCCCCTGGTATAGGGGTGCTGACAGCGTCCCAGGCGCCACCGGCCTTTCTGCACGGACGCCGCCTACGGGACCCGCTCGTCCCGTAGAAACGCGAGGTTCGATAGTGGTGACCTCGTGGGAACAGTAAACGCTGAAGAAGGCTGACAGGGAAACGTCTTTCACGTTTGCAGCGTTTACAACCAGGATCTGGGTGGGGTGGGCGCGAACAGGCCGACGCGCGCGTCCGGGAGATGCCGCCCGTTAGTACTCTGTGACTTGACTCGCAGGGCGCCTTGCGGCCCCTGACGCACATCCGGGTACCTGCGCACCGCGGACACGGGATGCACGAATACGTGCCTACGTGCATGTACGTGGCTGTGACGACTCGCAGGGCTCCTTCCTACCCTCTGACGCACATCCGGTACGTGCGTGCCACGTACACACGGGATGCACGAATACGCTCGTACATGCACGTACGTCGCTGTGACTTGACTCGCAGGGCGCCTTGCGTCCCCAGAATGCACATCCGGTACGTGCGCGCCGCGTACACATGGGATACACGTATACATGTGCACGTGCATGTACGTGGCTGTGACTTGTCTCCCAGGGCTCTTCCGGCCCCCTGACGCACATCCGGGTACGTGCGCGCCATGTACACACGGTGTGCGCAAATACGTGCGTACGTGCATGTACGTGGCTGTGACGACTCGCAGGGCGCCTTGCGGCCCTCGACGCACATCCGGGTACGTGCGCGCCGCGTACACACGGGAAGCACGAATACGTGTGTAGGTGCACGTACGAGGCTGTGCGGGACTCGCTTGGAGCCCCGTGAACGGTCGGTGAGCAGTGTCCCAACATGAGACAGGACGAGGATGAAGAATCGAGTAATAACTACTCTCGATCAAAGGCCCGACCGCGACCGAGGCCGTCCCAGAACCGCCCGTGTTCGCTCCTTGGGCGTGATGCCCGCCGTGTAAGGCCAGGACTGTCGCCGGTTCACAAGGAGGCGGCGCAGCTCGTCCAGGCGCATTCAGCTGGTGAAGAGGAGAGGTGGATTCCAGCCCAGGTGCATCAGTTCTAGCCCCTTCCCGCCCCCCTGACTGGAGGACGCGGGCGCGGGCGCTGGCTGCGGTGGCAGCTGCCGCCGGCCTCCGTGGGCAGAGCGCGGCCAAGCGCCAGGAAACCCGAGGCGAGCAGACGTGGCTGCGGATGACAGTGCCCCTCACCGGCAGGCCCGTGTGCCCCTGAGGTCAGCTGAGCTCACCCCCCGGCTCAGAGGACACCGGCTGCCTAACAGAGGAAACGGCCTCCCTCCCCGGGGCCTCTCCAGTCGGTGACAAAACACGACTTCAGGTAAAACTTTGTTGACATCACCCTTAATTCATGGCAAAACTTCACACGGAAAATTCCATGACATGTTGAGAGTAGGGAAATTAAGAAATCCCAGATGAACAATAGGGAAGGATCCAGGGACCATTTTCTATCTTTTTTTATTGACTTCTTTTTGATCATCAAAGTTGCTTTCATCTTTCCAGTGACAATGGCTTTTTAGACTTATTTCTTGCACCAATTCCTGATATCTTCTATTATGGCTACAGTTTACCAAAGAAATGTCAGGAAATACCCACGGGTAAAACTGAGTATTTCGTAATCTGTGCAACCATAAAATGTTGAATTCTTTCCGCAAGATCTTAGGGTGTGGCTAGGATTAAATGCCAATTGTTTCAACAAAACTGAGGAGCCAATAACGGGCATGTAATACATTCCGTTCCTCTATCTTTCGTCTAACTTTGATTTTATCTGCAGCCCCCTTTCAATTTGCGACCCTAATGGAAGTAGTGAAAAGTAACTCTAGGTATTGCCATGGACATTTTATAGGATCTCCTTATATAGGGAGCTTACTTAGGATATTTCAAATGTCGAAATTATTGTGTATGATTTTCTTCTCTGCATCTGTCAAAGCAACTGCAGTACCAGTAGCCAGCCTGACATCAGCCTATCAAATAATCAAAACAGCTTCTTGGAACTTTCTTCTCTTTCTTTTCAACCGAATATTATTATCCTGATACTCGTTGCACAAAGAATCAAAATTGAGACTGGCAGGATTACAAAGGACAATTTCCCGGCCTTCCTTTTTTTAACTTGCTTGCTTGAAAAAAAAAAAAAAAATTTAAACTGTTTCTGTTTTTCATTTAAGAAAAATTCCTGTGTTTTGAGTCTATAAAAACAAAAAATGAATGAGGCATTTTAAAAGTTATGTTTTTAATTAAAAACCAAAAAGCTGCTTCTCATCAGGTCTTGATGGGTGGTATTCTCGCTGTCCACCACTTGCCGGGGTGCCATCACCTCTCCCCTCACCCTGGGTAGCTCAGTCTTTGCTCCTCAGCAAGCAAAGAAGGCTTGTTCACCCATAGTTACAAAGGGTTAATTTGCTCCTCATGTACATTCAAGGTAACACAAATAAAATGAGAAAATACTAATGTTCTAAGCGCTGTATAGAAGCAGGTTTCCTGTAATCCACAAATAACGAACTAATTTTAAAATCATCATTATTTGAGTTCATACCAGGAGTTAATAATTTCTAATTGTAAATTAGATCCAAGCAAGAATCCCATAATTGCAGCAAAAAAGAGGGATCAGAGCTCTGAGTGAACTTCCTCATTATGCAAGGAAAGTAAACCATCAGAAAAGGAAGTGAATCCCTAACGTGGTAGTGGTGGGCTCCGGGGTAGGACTGCTCGTACCTGTGTGCTAGGTGGGCAGCTCACTCCCAGGAATTTCTTTTCTTTCTTTTTTTTTTTTTTTTTAAAGATTTTATTTATTTATTCATGAAAGACACAGAGAAAGGCAGAGATGTAGGCAGAGGGAGAAGCAGGCTCCAGGCAGGGAGCCCGATGTGGGACTCGATCCTGAGACCGTGCATCACGCCCTGAGCCGGGGGCAGGTGCTCAACTGCTGAGCCACCCAGGCATCCCAGAATTTATTTTCCATGATGTTGGGCACTATGCAAAATGGATAAATGCCATGTATCTCTTAGGTACAGATACATGTAAGACTAAATCACATTTTTGGGAGCAAACCATATTTCAGTATTTGCAGTGAGACTAAGTAATGTGCTAGCCCTAGCCAAGATAATTTGGTCTGATAAGTTATAGAAAAAAAGAAGAAAAGAAATAGTCTAACATTTTAGTTATGGTATTTTTAACACTATACAGAGCACATATTTATCACAAAGGCACCAAACAATGTCACATAATTGCATATGTGTGACAAAGCTCGTCCTTTGTATGGAGTATCTTAAGTTTTGAAAGTCTGAGTAGCTCTGGTTACATTGATCACTCAGTTTCTCAGAAGATCATTTTAAATAAATTAGAAAAAATAATACCTTTGAGATCCAATAAAGTATAATGCTGTGCATTTCATTTGCAGGGTCATACTTTTTTTGCACAATATTTCATTCTTTTGATAGGCTTATTGTGCCAGACAATGATAGGTACTGAGAAGAAACAAAGATGATTAAGTTATAGTTCTTGTCCTCAAAGAGTTTACAATTGAATAGAGCAGAGAACATAGGCATAAAATGGATGCTGGGCATGGAATTTAAAGGAGGTTCTTTTTCTTCTAAATGGCAGCATAGAGACTCAATCACGAGATGCAGAAAGAACACGCACATTGATACTGCTGTACATCTTCCCCAAGGGGAAGGAATGGAAAGATCTTTAGCTAGTAAAAGGTTAGGGCCCATCTCCCCAGGCAGAGCTTGGAGCCTGTAGGCAGGCAGTGGGTTTAGGAGCCTGTGGCCTTCAAGGGAACCAGATCCTCGCTGAGAGGTCAGGAGAGGACCAGTGCTTCTGCCAGCTTCTTGTGGAGCACCTGAGCCCCTGCTTCATCTCGTTACCTGGGGCCATCCCTGGAGAGCCTCTGGTATATCCTATAATGGCTAACATTCAAAATATATAAAGAACTTCTACAACTCGACACCAAAATAATGCAAGCAATACGATTAAAAAATGGGCAGAGGACCTGAATAGACATTTTTCCAAAGAAGACGTCCAGATGACCATCAGACGCATGAAAAGATACTCGAATATCACTCATCACCAGGGAAATGCAAATCAAACCACAGTGAGATATTGCCTCATACCTGTCAGAACGTCTAGAAGCAAAAAGACAAGAGATAACAAGTGATGAGGATGTGGAGAAAAAGGAATCCTCATGCACTGT